CAAAACCACCTCCATGACCACACCAATGTTTCCAGAACCACCCCGACCTCTTTGGCTGGATGAAGCACCAGCCATCTCTTGCTTCAACAGGGCTTTCCTTACTTCACAGTTGTGGCCATTCACAGGATGGTATTTCTGAATGACAATCTTATCCACGGAGTCATGGTCATCAAAGGTTACAAAAGCAAAGCCCCTCTTCTTGCCACTGCCTCAGTCAGTCATGATTTCAATCACTTCAATTTTCCCATACTGTTCAAAGTAATCTCTCAGGGGATGTTCTTCAATGTCCTCTTTAATGCCACCTACAAAGATCTTCTTCACAGTTAAGGGGGCACCTGGTCTTTGAGAATACTCTCTTGAGACAGCCCTCTTTGGTTCCATGACTCTTCCATCCACCTTGTGTGGCCTTGCATTCATGGCTGCATCCCCTCCTCCACAGTGGCACAGGTGACAAACCCAAAGTCCCTGGAGTGCTTCGTGTTTTGGATCTCTCATTACCACACAGTCCATGAGCTTCCTCCATTGCTCCGAAGGGCTCCTGAGACGCTCATCAGTCGTTTCAAAGCTCAGCCTTCCGATGAAGAGCTTGCACAGCTGCGTGGGCTCGTTAGGAGACTCTGACTTAGACATGATGGCAGTGGGAAGAGACTTTAACAATGCTTCCTCGGCAGCATCCATGGACAGAAAGACTTCTCCATATTTTAGTTCTTAAATATTTTTCATCTTTTAACCCTTTATTGCACCTTCTGGGAAAATTCCCTAACCAGATCCTTTATCTCACTGATTTATTCTTTGGCTATATCCACTTTGCTATGAAATGTTTGATTCCTATCTCCATTAGTTTCTACTTGGTCTTTGATTGTTCCTGTTTCATATTTGCAATCTTCTCTCCTCCTCTCTGAGGATATTTAATTTATTTGTTTCAAATTGTTTTATCTGGGTCATTAATTCATCTTCTTCTGATATGATCTTTCAGTATCTATTTTTCTTTCAAAAGGCTAGTATTCCTTCTCAGAATTATTTTTTCTTTCTCTCTCTTTCTCTGAGCTCAGATTCTGTTAGGAATATTGATAACCTTGGCTAGTAGTACTTATTTAAGAATAGGAATGAAAACTTAGAGTTAGCATGTGCTCTCCTCCTGGTATGTTTACGAGATATGGAAATGACTTAGAAGAACCTCTATTATTGCATATCCAGGATTCTCTATTTCTACCCCAGTTCCCAACACTACCACTCCCTGAACTCCATTTCTTCTGCCCAGGCACTGCTCTTCCTAGGGTCTGCTTTCCTCTGCTGTAGTGATCTTGTCCATTAACCAAGAAGACAGAACCAATCTCCCCACATAAAAAGATAGTTATCAATGATCCTTTGCAGCACTCTCATGTCACCTGCCTCATCCACCTGTGTTGCCCTGGGGCGGCTGTGTCCCCTCACCTGCAGGTCATTGGGGAAAACAATGATTCATCCAAAGCAACTGTAGAATGAAAAGATGAGGATAATTAGGAAGCTCCTTCCCACTGTTTCCCTAATTAGTGGCTATTATCAATAATCCTCTAGGTTGCTTGTATAGGATTTCCAGGTTGAGTTGGGGAGAGGGAGTCAGCCTCCCATGCTAGTTTGCAGTCTTGTCCAGAAGTCTCAGTACGTAGGTCAACGTTTACACTGACCTGATTCAGACATGGCCATAGGCCCAAGTAAACAAAGAACAAGGAATGACTTCATGTGAAAAGGTTCCAGAAAATAAAGCACGCTGCAACTCGGAGGGAAACATATATCCTCGTATCCAGTGAAAACTGAACCAGAGGAAAACTCCTCTTGGAAAAAGCCTAGAGTGGCCTACAGATTCCTAGTTTTCCTTATTTCAGATTTTGAAAGCAAAAGTATTTATATTTTTTTCCCAAATTATAAATACAGAATACTACTGCAGCTCCTCAAAAAATGTATATTCTTACTATCAAAATGGTAGAAATAAATTATTAGAATCACAGACACAACTAACAATCACTAAATCATCAGCTAATGAAATAACTGAATATTATATATTATATAATAAATAATATTCAAGTGACAATGTGCCTGGCATTTCTGAGTGTATTATCTCATATGTTTGGGCATTCACCCTAAGAAGCATTCTAAAACATAAAGAAAGTTGAAAAGAAGTTGTGGTTTACACAAGGTCACCCAGGT